AGGATATGTCCCAAGAATGCACCAAGATCGCCGAAGATTGGCACAAACGTGCCCCGAATTTGACCACCCACTGGAGCAAGCTTTCATAAGACAAAGCAACAAAAACGACAAAGAAAACTGTCAAGCCCTTTCTTACACTTGTCGGACCTCACTTTTCACGTCTTTTTTTGCGTTTTACACGCACTACGCAAAGGACCACCTGCCCAAGTCAAACGCCAGAGAAAAAGCAGCCAAGTGGACCAGCATGTCTGCAAAACAAGTGACATAACAGCAGCAAAGCCTTCAACAGAGCCCTGATCTAGACCCCACGGCCCCAATCACTTCCAACATACCTCCACGAGAAGGCTCAAAGAGAGCCCCAACATTGGGCGAAACGCGCCAAGATGGAGAAGGATGTGCCCAGGAATGCCTGAAGATCGCCGAAAAACCTGCCCTAAATTTGACCACCAACCGGAGCAAGCTTTCATAAGCAATAAAGCTCTCACAAACACATTTCTTGCACTTGTCCAAACCTTTGCGATGCTGGTTATGTTTTCTGGGGAAGATTGCAGTAATGACATCATGGATGTGCTCGTCAGGAGCAAGCTTTCATACGCAAACAAATTATAAAAAGAAGCTCTCAAAAACACCTTCCTTACACTTGTGGGACCTCATTTTTTCATGGTTTTTACAGTGTTTTATGCACATTGCACTTCAAAGCCTTCGAATGCGAGATAAGAAGATAAACCTCAAAAATTGCCTCCCGTGCAGGTAAAATGCAACTTTTTGAAGGTAAATAAGCTCAACACAAACCCATCCAAAGCCACTTTTTACTGTAAATTACAGTGTTTTATGGACCTTCGAACATGCAAAAAAAAGCCCGCGCGGTCTGCAAATCAGCTTGGCCCCCCCCCACCCCCCCCCTTCCCTTTCGGTAATACTTCCAAGCGCTACAGCGCTTTCCGTCATCTCAGCATTTCTACCTTGTTTCCGTGTTTGTTCGTTTCGACGGCCGAAGTAGTTTCCCCCCAAACCTTTTTTCAGAGCTTCCCGAGCGCTCTGGTCGGGTCAACGTCTGCATCTAAGTTGGAGCGCCAAACGAAAGACACTGTGCCAAGCATAACGCATTAAAAATATGACATTGATGGAACATATACAATAAGTACTTTTCCGGGGAAGAGACCGTGACTCACAACCTATACTGCATCGACAACGGACGCGATCATGCCGGCCCCCCCGCCCCACCCCACCCGCCACCCGCAAAAAGTTATACTGTAACCTCCATGTAACGTTGACATCAGAGAAACCCTCATGTAGCATCAACGTCATTATCCCACCCCAACCCCACACCCCCCCCCCCCCCCTATGTAACATGAACATCACCGCAGCATCACAAGTTATATGTAGTGTCGAGGGTCAAAAACGCACAAAACGCAGGGCCCTATTATCACCGTGCCTCCATCTACAACCTTCAGCCTATGTGGAAAGCCCAAACAAAACACGGCTACCAGTCGGATCTCTCTGAGCGGCAAGGACATCGTTGACGGAGGCGCTGATCCTCTGCTTTGTGTTTTTCAGAAAGATGTCGTAGATGTGTCGGCTCTCCGTTGTGTTCAGGCTGGGAGCCATCAGCAGAGTCACATCCTCACATGATGACAGGAGTTGCAGATTAGTTCGAAGGTTCTTCACCGAACAATTCAGAAGGCACTGCCGGCCATTCCGGGAACTACCCCAGTGCAACCAAGGATAGTTCCCAATGTTTTAGCTCCAGAAAAATCAGGATAGACTGTGAGCAAAGCTTAAAGCTTGGTGGACTGGGTCTATGTGGGAAGTGAGGATATAATGTGAACTCATCATGCCCCTACATTTTCGCAAAAGTGATTTAGCGGGACTTGCTGCGACATGTCGTAAGACCTTACAAAATCAGGTTGCTTCCCTACGTCCCAAAAATACAAACTCAGAAGCGTAGCTAGCAGAAAATGCAGTTTTAGGCCGATCGCGATTAGATTGGAGGCAATTGCTATTAGGTTGGACCTACACCATAGTAACAGGTGCCTTGCTAGTAGTAACAAGTGCCACGCTAGTAGTAACAGGTGCCTTACTAGTAGTAATCATGTTTGCTATTGGAAACAAGTGCCACGCTACTAGTAACAACCTTGATGAGACATCTCCACACGATTTGAAGCCCGCCATCTGTCGCACTGGCACCTCATATTGCACTCTATACACGGTGAATTGAACACCAAACCCTGCCAAACCCTGGTAGGTTGATGTCCTTGCTAGATGTCAAATTCTTGGTGAACCAGGGTCCGTGATTTTTAAACAAATGTTCACGAGACTTCATGCACCTCAAGCCACAACATTACGTGCTTGTTCATGACTCTGCAGGACATTGTGAGTGTTCATGCAAGCTGTGTTCTGCTCATGTGTAGCTCGGAGTCTCGTTTGCGTTGATTTTTGTGGCTCAAGCTCTTGTCCTGGCCACTGACATTTGATGAAATGCTTCTCGTTATTGACAAAATTACTGTCTGCAGGCTTGTTAGGCCCAAGCCCTGCTTTGTCAAGTGTGGATATGTGCGCCTGCACTTGGTTCCTGGTGTAATGTATGATTGTCCGCGAGAAATCATGAAGAAGACAAGCTTGCAACGTTGACAAACAAAAAGCCAAAAGTGCTGGCCAAGGCTTTGGGAGGCTCAGGACAGCCCACGTACTCCTCCAATTCCAAAGGTTATAGATGGTCTGGTATAAGCCCAAACTAAACGACCACATTGTCAAAATAAATTATGGTTCCAAAGCCTGTTCCCGCTGTCGTTGCGCAGTTGCAGTGGAAGGGTGTGGTACAGGTGTTGGTTCTTATTCGTCTGACAGGGTGCCTTGGCACCAGTTTGGGCACACCGACTCCGCGGACCAGGATGGGTTTCGTTTTAAGAGCCGCGAGTGAAATGAGCCCTTCTGACTTCGCTTTCTCTGACTTGGCGTATCAAGCAAGCAAGAAACAAAAAATAAAAAAAACACAGATTGGAATGGTCACATCGTCTTCGTTCGATCCAAGTCTCTGGAACCCCGGGCAACAACTTGCAGCGACCAGAGGCATTCGCATTTGGTGCGAGGCTCGTGCTCTCAGTCTCGTTGCTGTGAAGGTTTAAATCCAAAGGCGCTTCGCCTGAAAAGGCTGTCTGAGCTCTCTGAGAGATTTCTGATGGGCAACTTCCAAGCGATCCTGGATCCTGGAAGATTTGGTTCTTTCTGGAACTGCAAATGTCGGCAAACCATTTCCCTTGTGGGGACGCTTAGCTCAACCCATCACATCTCATCTCACGTACAGTTGGGAGGCCAGCTGGCGCAGTTTTTTGCACAGTGGGGAGGTTCGAACTGATTTTTGTCTTATCTTCGGTAGAGATTCCGTCTTAGATCGTTTTTTGGTTTGCGAGGGAAGGGGAGAACACATTCGTCTGCAGAATCGATGCGGCGACAGACTGGTACTTGTTGGAGGCCATCGCTGGGAGGGTGGGAGCAGGGGCACCTGGTCTTTCTTCACCCGTTCGTGACTTGAAAAAAGCGCTGCATACGAGACCATACAAAACCTGTAAGCGGATACACGATACATTTATAAAAGATGTGTGCCATCTCTTGCTTAACTCGGAGTTTGCGCATCTACAATATTTTCAGAGTGGATCTGGTTCCAAGGATCTCTGTGTTGTTGGTGTGTGTATGTGTGTGTAACCCTTGGAATCAAAGGGAACCTTAAGGTTTGGAACAGGGGGACGGGACACCTCTGGCATTTCCCGTCCAACGAAAAGGATGCCAGCAGGTGCTGATACAGTGGGGGACGCCCCACTGTGTACCTGTTCCACTACTTAGGAGAACAGGAGGAAATGGTACTCGACACACTTGTGTGTCGGAGCCTTTCCTTCTGTTCTCCTCTAGACTACTCTATAGGTTGCAGGTAGGCCTCCAAACTTTGTAAGGGGTTCTTTAACCTGAACTTTGGCCTCCACCCACTAGAATGGACCTCCAACTTTTGCTGTTTTGCTGTCTTGTTTGTCTTGTGCTTCTTGTCACCTACTAGCGATGGCCCCCAACCTGCCTTCGACGGCCTCCAACCTAAGAGCGAAGACCACCAACTTTGACCGCTTTGCTGTCTTGTGGTTTCTTGTCTCCAACCTACTAGCGATGGCCTCTCAACCTGCCTTCGATGGCCTCTAACCTAAGAGCGATGACCTCCAACTTTTGCACCTTGTTTTACTCAGGTTTTTTTAAACCTAGGCTGGCGTGTGGCACCGCTGTTAAGTCCGTATGCATATCCATAAGTGTGTGCGTCTGGCATGTTGTGGGTGGCAAACAAATTGAGTTGTCCCTGCAGCCATGGTGGCTGTCCCTGCAACCCCAACACCATGATAAACTGGACCCATGCCAAAGCATGCAAGTCTTTTTGTCATCAGACCTTCCAAGCTGACTTGCTATGTCCAAGTGGCTGTAGCTTGCCTTGAAGGCCAGCAAATGTCCTCCAAGCAGTAGTGCCACCGAAACACTTACCCCCACAGCACGATGCACTGTGCTGGGCCTCGTCGGGATTGGCTCAGGGGTCTTCGCCTCTGAAATCTCCATGGCAGCAAGAAATCTTCTCTCTCTCTCTCTCTTCTTAGGTTGGAGGCCATCACCAGTAAGTACAGTCCACCGCCTCTCCCTGAACGAGGGAAACAGTTTTATTCAATACTGCGTAGGTTTTCCGGCCAAAAGAGTGGGCCACCCTCAGGCCATCCACCTTCACCACTTGCAACAAATCTGAAGCATGAAAAATGCCATGGTTTATTCATCTTCATCCACTTTTCTACAATCACTGACATGATCCAGAAGTGCTGTCGTGGAGCAATTCGGACGTTCAAAGCATTTCGAAGCATTTGCACGCGGAGAGCAGCAGTGCCACCCAACACACGTGCGATGTTGCCTTCAACGACCAAAAGGAAAGTTCTGACATGTGTTCTTTCTGTGATAGGGTCTTTATGGTAACCCCGATGCTTTTACTGGGCCGACATCTGTATGGGTGCAAGGCGTCGAAGATTGCACAGCTCCGATGGTGCTAACAGCCACTATATGGCTGTTCCCCTCGGAGCCACAAAATCCTTTGGAACAGCTCGGCCGCGATCTTTGGAACCGAACCAGTGACTCAAAGGGTCGCCGTTCAGTCGTTCAGCAAAGTCACCCCAAAACGTGGTTCCTTTCCTTTTTAGCCCGCTCCCCCTCCTCCCTTAGTTAAGGGAGAGGTAGCTACTAGCTGCAACTAAGCTACCTAGGACGCAGGATAGCTCGCACTTCTTCAAGGAAGCTACCCCGGCCGCCCAAAAAGTGGGGGAAGCTTCTTTGAAGAAGCGCTCGCACCAATGATTTGGTTCCTAGATTTTTGAAGAAAACTTAACTAATAGCAATGGCCTCCAGCCTACTAGCGATGGCCTCAAACCTAGTAGCGTCCTTTCTGCTAGTGGTAATGGCCTCCAACCTAGTAAATAGCGTCCTTGCTACCAGTAGCAAAACACCAAATGAAAAAAACAAGCTGATTTTCCGTTGCAAAATCCTCCTGTCGGAAGGAATAAAAGGGTCCACTCTGAGAGTCTTGGAGCTTGTGCGCTGTGCATTCGCCGAACGAACCACACCGCCAACTGTTTAAGTTTCACTTTATACATAATCACAAATCATATACACATCTGTAACTGTATCATATACGATGACCAAGAACAGAACACATCGAATTCCCGCTTAGTTTCACCGGAGGTCAAAACTCTGGTGCCTGCGTTCCACCTTCGCACGCGAAGCGTCGACACGGAGATCGCCTGGCCAGACCGGTCAGTGCACCTCAGCTTTCGGAAGAAAGTGAAGACGAAGAAAAGGTCTGCTAGTAACAAGTGCCACGCTACTAGGAACAGGTGCCTTACTAGTAGTAACAAGTGCCTCGCTAGTAGTAACAAGTGCCTCAGTACGAAGAAAAGGTCTGAAGTGACTTTGGGAGACTTTTTGGGCTTGAAGCTATTAGTAACAAGTGCATCGCTTCTAGTAACAAGTGCCTTACTAGTAGTGACAAGGACGCTACTAGGGGCTCCTGGCATCGCTACTAGGAGCAAGGACGCTACTAGTAGCTGCTCATCGTAAGATGGGCAGTCATCGTTCCTTGGACAACTCCTTGGACAACTAGTAGCTTCTTGTTACTACTAGTAAGGCACCTGTTACTACTAGCG